GTATTCCAAGGATCCCAATTAATTTTCGTGCCAAAACTGTCTTTTCAACACCCATAATGACCTATCGTTTCATTTTTGATCTAGCGCCTAATCTCCCCCCCTGGCGGGATGTTGCCACGTGTACGACCACGATCCACTGACTCCTCCCCTCACCCTGTCTTTTCCACTTCAAATCACCACGTGACACGCCGTCTCTCGAGCCCCACGCCCCTCCACCTCATCCTTCGCGGTCAGCCCTCCTCGCGGTCGACCCTCCCACTCGGCCAACCTCCGCGGTCAGCCCCCCTCGCGATCGGCCCTCCTTGTGATTATGCTTTTCACTATGATCCAAATTTTACTTTATATTCTATAATTTAAATTTGAACAATTTAATTATTTTTTGTTTTTAATTTAGTTATTTCATCGAAATTAGAGGTTAATATTAACAATTTTGAGACATTTGTTAATTTTTTAAGGTGTACATATGTATACAAAATTAATAAAAATTTTAAATAAAATGACAAAATTGAAATTAAACTTGAAAGTGACTAGTGTCTAAATTAATTTTAACTTTTAATTTAGACGAAATAATTAAATTGAAATTAGATTTAAAATGTAGAAATTAAATTATTTAAATTAAAACTATAAGAATTAAAGTAAAATTTGAATCAAAATATAAGGATGAACAATGTTATAAACCATTTTATTTTTAATTGCAAACTACAACTCATAAGAAAGATGAGGGGGGTAATTAGGTACATTGGTTTTGGGCCAAAATTTGTCAATGACGGATGAGTGATTGGAAGTTCTATTTATTTATTTTTATTATTATTTTTTAAATATGGTGTAAGTATCAATTTTACACACCTCCAATTAATTTTGAGACATTAAAATTAATGAACAAATGAATTTTCAATAATCTCAAAATTTGAAATTCTATTATATTTTTTTATTAAGGATTAAAAGTCGAAAAAATTAGTCTAGGATCCCTCTCCCACTTTTCGTAATGAAAGAGATCCACAAAATTATTTTTTGATGTCTAAGGTCCCTAAACATATATATCAGAAAAATTTGACTCTTTGTCTTTCCTCCTCTACTGCAGAGCAGCACTTCCTCTCTCTCTCTCTGAAACCCTAGAGAGAAGAGATGTGCAAAGTCGATCGAAACCAGACACTTCAAGATCCAACACTCTCTCTCTCTCTCTCTCTCTCTCTCTCTCTTCTCCTCTTACCCACTAGTCTTCGAGATCCAAGGCATTCAAATCAGTTACTTGACGTTACGGAAACAGCAAATGATAGATAGATATACATAAAGAGAGAAAATAAATTTGATCGTGTGAGAGAGAGAGTGAGAGATGATGTGGAGATGGTCGTGTATTTTCTTGAAACAAAGTCTGTCGTCAGCGGTTGGGTACAAACCAAAGGCGAAGGCGGCATTAGGGCTGAGGGCGGTGTGTGCATTGTTTTCAACGGAGTCGGGCGACGGCGGAAGTGGTAGTGATGTAGTCGGAGGAGGAGGGGATAATAATAATAATAATAATAGTAGTATGTCATTTGCGGAGGCGAAGAAGCTGATGAGATTGGTAAATGTGGAAGCATTGAAGATGAAGCTAGGGGGTGAAGAGAAAGAGGTGATCTGCTATTCGGAGCTCCTCCAAGCCTGTGAAAGTGTGGGCGTTGCCAAATCTCGCCATGAAGCTGCTACTTTTGCCCGTGTTCTTGATGAGGCTGGTGTTGTTCTTCTCTTCAGAGACAAAGTCTATCTTCATCCCGATAAGGTACTTCTCCCCAAATTTGTTTGTAAAATATGTGAATTGAAATTTTCTATCTTGAGATATTTCTCTGGAGAGTGGGAAGTATATGTAAGGCAAAGAAATTTGAAATTTCTCTAGAGAGTCCATGAAAGGCTAAGAATGCTAGAGAAATTTAAAATTTCTCTAGAGGGGTAATTTTGTGAGAAGGCCGATGAAGTCAGAAAAATTTCCAAATTTCTCTGGAGTGTTAAGTCCATGAGAGGCAGGGAGGGCAGAGAAAATTCTCTATCAAAAGCTTATTTTCTTTTCTTTTTTTGTTTTTGTTTTTGTTTTTGTTTTTTTCTTTCATTCGCCAAATCTCAATTGCATCCATAAACACCCATACATTGGATGTGAGTTTACTTATGATTGTTTATTTCCCATTCCTTTCTCAAATAAGAGGAATTTAAAAGTAGCTGTGAGAATTTCCCAAGCTACAAGTTTCTCAGTGAAATTTCACACAATTGTGAGAGATGCTCTCAAAGCTTCTTTCACAGAACCATAACCAACAACAACGCTACATATATAAATCAGAGAATTAATTACAAATTTCTCTAGAGATGTAATTTTGTGAAAAGGCGGAGAAATTTCTCTGGGAGAGTGGGAAGTATATGGAAGGCAGAGAAATTTGGAGAAGAGGAGGACAGAGAAATTTACAGTGGGAAGTTTAGGGAAAGTCAGAGAAATTTTGAAAATTTCTCTGAATCAATTTTCTCTGTGACGTGAATTTTCTTTGGACTAATTTTCTCTGGACCAATTTTCTCTGGATCAACTTGAGGGACCTTAGACATTATGAAAATATTAGATATCTTTTATGCTATAAAATCTTAATACGAGGGACCTTAAAAAAAAAAAAAACCCTTAAAAGTCCCAAACTTTCTCATTTATATTTCTCTTACATCATTTTATCTTTTTTTTTTTAATTTTTTTTATATATTATTATCTCCCACAACCACAACTACTATCATTATCAACCATCGCTAGCCACCATCCATTTTCTACACCAACCACCACCACCCTTTTTCACATCTTTCACTCTTTTTACCCATCTACAAATCTAAATATGTGGATGTTTGGGAAGTGGATTTTTATGTAGGTTTTTTTAGTTGTAGAATATTATTGGAGAAATTTTTTTTTGTGTTTGGGAAGATAGTTAGATTTTTTTGTGGTTAGATGTGATGTTTGTGAGAGAAAAAGTGAAATGATTATGGGGTTGGATGTGATATTTTGTTTGGATGTGTTTTTTTTGGTTTTGCAAAAAATTTGTCTTTTTGTGAAAAAAACAAAAAAAAAAACCCAAGTCTCAAACTTCCCAAACATTCAAATATATATATATCTTCTATCTGTTTTTTATGGGTTGTTTTGGGAATAAGTTGACTTTTTTGTTTATTACAAAAAGACATGAAAAAAATAGAGGGCGATGTGACCTAAATAATTCAAAAAACTGGTATAAGTCACTTTCCCAAAAAAGCCTATATGTATACTATTATATGTGAATGCCATAATTGGTATTGACATCTTATTTTTTGAATTTTCTCAAATTAAAGTTATGTCATAAATTTAGTTTATATATATATATATATATATATATATCAAATCTCTCAACTTTTGATTTTTTCAAATTCATTTTAAATTTCAAATTTAATCATATAATATATAATCCTATTTTCTAAAATAAAATGCGTGTGTCGACATTTGTAGTACTATTATAAAAGTAAGGCTTGAATTGGTGTTTATGTCTCGTTTTTTTAATTTTCTCAAAATGACTCTATATTAAGTACATGGGCAGTTATGCCCTAAATTCATTTTTTATTTTATTTTATTTTATTTTTGTTTTTTTGTTTCTCTCAACTTTTGATTTTTCAAAATTCATTTTAGTTTCAAATTTCAAATTCAATCATACAATAATCTTATTTTCCTCAAAATACCCCAATAAGGTTGTTTTGTCAAATCACTCAATTATTAATCTCTTTAGATTTATAAAATGTTCCAATTTTGAATCTAATCATACATTTTACAATCTTATTTCTCTAATCATATGGACGGCATGGCATGTACTCACCACTTATTATATATATATATATATATACTAGTTGAGAGGCGTCGTGCTTCGCACGATCACCCATGCCCGTGGTTCAAGTAAATTTTAACATGAAATCAAATATAGTATGAGGTAAGTCCTACTCTCTATGTAAGTGGAAGAAATTGATATGCCCATAGAAAGATTAAGAATATCCACCCCATTATTCGTTTTTCTTCTTTTGATATGTGAGACCTAGATAGGACCGATGTGGATCCCACAGAAATCTGAGGCCAAAATGTGTTTGTGCCACACCAGTGCCACAAACCGTACTGATAACAGAGAAGATACCAGCAGAAGCAGCATCAATGACTTGGCCTTTGGAGTCCCTAACATGGAAAACCATCCTGGTTTTGTAGTTATTGTGAACCAAATAGAAGGCCTACAAGTTCTACTTCTTCTCTATCTCTTCAGTCAAAGCCCCCATCTCATAATTTCTATCCTCATTCTTTTTTAGATATCAAAATCTAAATCGGGTGGGACGGATGGATCTTTCTTTCTAGAAGTGGCTGTGTTGCTTGGAAAACTAGTTGTTTAGCTAAACAAGTTTTAACTAAATGATGCATGACGCACAAGAAGCAAAGGGAAAAAAAAAAGAAAAAAAAAAGAAAAGAAAAGAAAAGAAGAAGGAACAAAGCACAACTAAGAAATTAATAGATGGAAAAAATGGTCCACATGATATGCTTAGTGGAAGCCAATTCTAGGTACACAGCCCTTAAAAGGTGTGTACTATGACTTCAAAGTGGTATTGATTATGACTTGAAGTGGTGGTCAAAATTAGGCCTGCCTTGGTTATGAGGCTAGGCGGTGTTTGGTTACAAAGCAAAATTGATGTTGGTCATGAGGTGTAGTGGTGGTTTTGGTTAATTATAACCCAAAGTGGTCATGGTTTGACACAAGCGGTGGTGGTTATGAACCAAAGTGGATATGATTCAAGGGCTTATATTCATTTTTCTAGATCAAATGGTGGAAAGTGGAGTTCCATATGGCATGCTCACCCTTTTGGGGGTGGGGTGGGAGTAAATATTGGATGTAACGGTGAGACCATGTTGTGGTATCACCATCCAATGAGTAATCTCACTTTGCGGTAGGGACCACAATGTCGTTGGGTTAATGGGAGACAAGATCTGTCCATCTAATCCATTTGTGACTTTTTACTGGCCGGTAACCACATAAGATGGTATCACCTTTACACTCAATATTTTTTCATGGGGTTGGGGGACGTCTTTCCCTTTACTGGATTTGCAAATTAAGTGAAAAAATAAATTGTTCACCTGAACCATTAGATTGAACAGATGAGCACTACTAGAAAGTTTATGCTGATATGCTGTTGTACTACCAAGCAATGCACTTGAAGATCTGCCAGATTGCCGCAAAGCAGTTGGAGGGTATGTAAGTTCCCAATCATCAGCAGCGGCCAGGGCAGCAGTACTCTCTTCAATACTTTTTAAATTAGCTTCTAGTGCGTGCTCAACGCTAGGTCTAAAGGGTCTCAACAGCACAGGACAAAGTGCCAAGCCACGAGCTTCCAACAGGGAACAATGACCTAAAGCTATTTGCACACACTCTGCCGCAGCCCTTAAACGTCCAGCAGCAGCGGATGAAGCTAATGCATGTCTTTTAACCAGGAGTGCATAAGCATCAGTTTGCTTTGTAGCCCACATCACAAGCTCTGAAGTGTAGGCTGTCTCCTTTCCAAAGATAGCCAAAGAATCACTGGCAGCTTGAGCAATAGCCGAGAACACTAGCTGTGAGAGGGCGGCAGTATATGCTCCTCCATATGAGGTGCTTGATGGACGAAGGCTTTGCATGTTATACTGATATCTATGGTAATGTGCATTGAGCAGCAAACTATGCGCATGAGGGCCATCTCCAAGCTTTTTAAGAGCTGAAATAGCTGCACGAAGCTCACTGCCACGTGTAGAAGGTTGGCAAGCAACTTCAGCAAGCTGATCAGCTAATTTTTGCCTATGTTCAGTAATAGTAGTCTGCAGTGACAATAGTACAGCTGGACTTAATGTTTTCTTTTCTTTTGCTTCAGAAACTACGTGTTCTCCTTCATCAAGGGTTTCCAAAGCTTCATCCACCCTCCTCTCGGCTAACAAAACATTAAGTAAATCAGGGAACTCTTTTAACTGTTTCTTAAGGTCTGAAGGTTCTTTGTTCTCATAGTTAGATAGTCCATTTGCAGAAGGACCATTAGGAACAGTGATAGCTAATGAATCAATGTGAACTCCCTCAGCTAGACCATGAATTAAAGTTGCCCGCGTAGATAGCAGGTTATTGATTGATGAAAGCTCCCCCTCTAAATCTGAGATCTCTTTTGATGTGCAGTTGAAAAAAAATTGATTTAAAATACAAGCTGCATTGGATAACCAATCAATATCAATAAAATGAGATCATCTTTCAAAAGGAAAAGCACAGGTATAGTAGGAAAATTCAGAGAAAGAAAATAGACCAAAATGCCTCAACAAAAAGGGTGGATAAACTTTTATTGCCATCTATTTGAAAGGGAATACAGTCCAAAAAAAAAAATGCATCCCCATTTGGCCGCTTTCAGAAGATGCTTTTGCTAATCAAGAAAGAGGGGAAAAAATGCTATCCACACACAGGGTTGTCCTTATAATGAGTGGCAGAAATTTAGTCCAATGTGTCAATAACTTAATATGCGTTGGTATGATGTCATGAAAAGGCATGAAGTAGATAATTTGGGTATACTGATGAATTATAATTATATATTGTCGAAGCAACTGTTGCAAAAGGACTCGCCGTATGAAGGCTGTGTAGTTAGCATAGAATACACTTTTATGCATTTCCTCAGCTGAAACTTTCTTCAAATCAAGAAGATACGAGCATAATTGCCTTATTTCCTGTAAGCCAATGCCGGTGTTAATATAGTAATTAATAAATCTTTCCAATATGGTAAGTTGGTAGAGACCACACTATACATAAATACATTTCTTGGTAACTCAAAGAGTTTCTCTCAATAGTCAACACAAAGTATTGATTGACATAGTAAATAGTATCCCTTGCATTCACGCTTCTATCCGTAGATATAATTCAATTACACGGTGAAGTTATCAGACTAAAAGAAAAATAACAGTCAAATGTTGCCAATGCAACATTTTGGAAAGCAAATACACAACCAGAACTCAAGACCATAGTCAACAGCTCAATATCTTGACTTGTAGATGCTTCAGTTGATAAGAAAAAGTTGCCAATGCAACATTTGATTGCGTGAGCAACTGAACCCCAGAGGAAAAGTACTTATATGTAGATAATAAATGGCTTGGCAAAAGAGAATACCCTCTAACAGCCACTTGTGTCGACACATTGGATGAAGCCACCTTCAAAGGCACAATTCTATTGCAAAATGGTACATCAAAAGCAATTGTTATCCAAATTCTTGACTAAATATAAGGGAGACCTGTTTTATTAACTGCTCAAATGTGTTTGTAAAAAATATTTTAATTTCTAAATGGAAACTGCAATTATTATAAAACACATGCTGTTTTATATGCTTCACTCTTAGAACATGGGAAGAAAATGTAATAAACAAATCTTTTCCTGCCCAGAATTGGGTTTTTTCTCGTGAATTTTAATAATAAAAAAAGTGCACTGCCACTTGGATTTTTAAGTCCAACATTCAATTTAATTGCTTCTTATTGGAAATAATGTACATTTTCAACATAGAGTATGGCCTCATACATAAAATTGGGGATTCACTCGTGCGCATACAAATGAATGTGTGCTTGCTTGCATTCATCCTTAAAAAAAGATACAATTTGGGCATACTGCTTCACAGTAGGTCTAAACCCCTTAGCCAATTGATCCAAGTTGGACATTTGTAGTTTGTGAGTAGTTTGATTGAATCCTGTGAGTGAGACAATTCTTGATTTGTAAGCAATTTGAATGAATCATGCTATATCTTTTTATCATATTGTTTATTCATTAGATGAGGAATGTATTCCTGATTTGGTCAATGATACCTAAGAACTATTGCTTTTGGCATATGCTACAATTAGCATAAAGATATTCTTGCAAATTGTAATGAATTAATGCTTTTATATGTTCAAAATTTTCAGAGTTCCATCTAGGGTTTTTTTTGCCAATCAATAAGATAAATTTCAAATATTATTATAAAGTTTAAATATTTTACGAGAACTCAATCAAACTAGGCATTCAACTATGCGAGTAAGATCAGCAGTCGCTTATCTCACAAGATCTATTCCCAATGTGGCCTTAGATAAGGAGTCCTCATACCTCTTCCTCTTAGTTATAGATATCTTGGCTAGAGCCCTAGTTTATGCCTCTCAACAGAAACAAATTATACATTTAAAATTAAAAGCTTCAAGAAATGGTCCCTCTATCCCCAATACTATGTTTTTTCAGTGACTGGTTTCTATTTGTTAAAACCAATTCTAATGTAATTTCTACACAAAATGTTTTACAAACTTTCACCCACACAGCAGGACAATCCATTAATTATTCTAAATCTGTTGCTTTTTTCTTTCCTAACATCCTGGTTCGTGAAAGGTTCATCCATTGGCTTTTGCTTGGCTTTACATAACAATAAATATTTAGGTCTTCCACTTATTTCAGTCTTTCACTTATTTTGTTGATAAATTTCTTTCCTATGCTGGCCAATCCACATTGATCAAACATGCCCTAGTTCCCTTCCCACTTACACCCTTCTTTCCTATCCCTAAAATCACCATCAACAAATTTGAATCCTGTTGTCTGAATTTTCTGTAGAATAGTTGCTCCTCATCACACGAACCCCTCTCATAAGCAGGAACACAACCTCGTCAATTTGGCAGGTTGGGTACTTTAAACCTTAGGTAAAGGCTATTATGTGCACCCTTTTTGGGGTGCATATGGTATGCATCTTATGCAAAAAGCATAACTTTAATCCCAAAATGTATAACTTTTGTCACAGGAAGTACAAGTTTTTTTCTTCACAAAAATAAAACTTTTTGCTTCTCACAAAAGTATAACTTTAATTATAATAAGAGGTTGTTTGAGATGAGATGATCTAAATAAATATACTTTTTAATTTTTTATGAAAAGATGTACAAAAAAGTAAAGAGGTGATGTGACATAAATAAGTACACTTATTTAGTTTATGCCAAATAAGTCTTAAGTATAGCTGTTGGCTGTATAATTTGTATAAGTCAATCACAATTCAACACGTGGTATGAAAAGGGCAATTTGGGAAGGTAATACAAAGTGCCACGTGTCAACCCATATTGGTAATAATGGGTCTGCGTAGTACTAGAATGATCGAGTGATATAAGGTGATGTGGCCTAACGGTTACCTATAAGGTTCAAATTCAAAATCAGGAGGGAAGCCTAACTGCAAACATGGTGTAGTGGGACTGACTATGAGAGAGCATGTTCAGCGATCATGGAGGGATATTTCAACAGTTAGGAGCTCACTTTGACGGTTATCATTGAGAAGTATAAATAGCAGAGAAGACCCTAGAAAGGAGGATCCAGACTCAGATCAAAAAACCAATTTTATCTACTTTATTTTCCCTTCCAGCTTTTACAGTTCTTTACATTTCTGTACTTCAAATTCCTGTATTGCACTTCATTCATAGGAGTAGTTTCAAATAACTTGTTGCTATAAACCTTTACGAGGCTGGGTCAGATCATTGTAAGTTTTTCATTTTACTTCATGAAATTCTGCAATTATTCTTCACTTAATTGTTATTTACTAAATTCTCCTAAACAAGCCACCAGTAAAAGTCTTCTTCATTGAGGTTGAAAGAACTAAGACATAGTCGTCTGATAATTGATTGGCAATTAATCTTCTGTAAAGGCATTGATCCTTGCTGGCACGCTTAAAATTACAATACTAACATTCAAAAGCCAAAAAAGCCAACAATAACTTTAGTTATAGGTAACTTTTAGGTGCACATCACGATTTCACCATTCATAACTTTCCTCACGAAAATCATAACTTTTCTTACAATATGCAAGTGCACAATGTAGCATTCCAAAATGTTAACGTGCTTAACAAGCCTTTTTTTGAAACCAACTTGGCGTCTGTTCAAAATTCTTTATGGGATCAAGTTTTTCAAGCAAAATATCTCCCTGATATTCACCTCCTCAATTTTCCTTGTAACGAGTCTTCCTCATCGAGCTGGTGACATATACATCATTCTCTTGTTAACCAGCATGAAAATCTCATTTCAAACGTTTCCTTTTGGGACAATAAATGAATTGCTTTCAACTAGCACGAGAATTCACCATTCTGCAGTTTTGTTTTGTATTCCAAGAGGCTAAATTCTGATATGTTAGCTAGATTTGCATTAGCCTCTCTTAATTCTGAATGCATATATTTCAAGCATCTCATTTTTGTAAATATTGGCTTAAGGGGGCCTCCTTACCTGTGAGGGCAATCTCGAATGGTAAGTCCCCACACAAACAACCAAAGGCCTTATGTTCAAGCCCCTATTCCGCCCCACATTTAAGACTAATGGGTGGTCGCATATATCCAGTGTTTAACCCCGTGTCTTCACTATCGCTGCTACTGAATGTTCTTTTTGTACTCTCTCTTGAACCCCATATCTTTTGTTGTAAAAAATTAAAAAAAAAATTAAAATTTTAAATACCCAATCAAAAGAATTCACAATTCTAGGACCTGTTTGGTAACGTTTACGTTTTCAGTTTATATTTACAAAAATTTTATAAACTGGTTTTTGTTTATTTTTAGAAAAACATAAACTACAAACGCGTTTGGTTTAGACAAAATGTTTAAAAAAATTTAAAAATATAAAAAGGAGTGAGAAATGGCAAGTGGTGGTGGGTGGAGACGAGTGGTGGTGGCGAAAGACAGTGGTGGAAAATGATGGCGGGTGGTGGTGGCGGAAGACGGTGGTGACGGGTGGTGGGTGATGGTGGCAGGTGGGTGGTGGTGGTGGTAGGTGGTGGATGGTGGTGGCAGATGGGTGGTGAGTGGTGGTGGCGGGCGGTGGATAGTAGTGGCGGGTGGTGGGTGGTGGGTGGTGGTGGCGTGCGGGGGCGGTGGTGGTAGCGAGTGGGTGGTGGGTAGTGGTGCTGTGGGTGACAGGTGGGTGGTAGTGGCGGCTGGTGGTGGTGGTGGTGATGGGTGGTGGTGGCAGGTGGGTGGTGGGTGGTGGGTGATGATGGTAGTGGTAGTGATGGTGGGTGATGGTGGTGGTTGCGGGTGGGTGGTGCGTAGTGTGTGGTGGCTAGTGGTAGCGGGTGGTAGCGGGTGATGGCAGGTGGGTCCCCGTGAGTGGTGGTAGGTGGGTGGCGGGTAGGTGGCAGGTGGCTGGTGGTGGTGGTGGGGGTGGTGGCGAGTGGGGGGGCGGGTGGTGGTGGCGAGTGGGTGGCAGGTGGGTGGTGGTAGCAAGTGGGTGGTGAGTGGTGGTGGTAGGTAGTGGTGAGGGGTGGGTGGTGGTGGCAAGTGGGTGGTAGGTGGGTGGTGGCTGGTGGGTGGCAAATGGGCGGGTGGTGGCAGGTGAGTGGTAGGTGGTGAGTGGTGGTGGCAGAAGACGGTGGCAGAAAATGGTGGCGGGTGATGGCTAGTGTTGGGTGGTAAAAAAAAAAAAAAACTGAAAACTCAAAACGTAAACTCATTTTTTGAGTTTACATTTTTTGGCCAAATTTATAAACTGAGACTACTGATTTATAAATCAAAAATTTACCAAACAAGTTTTTATTTGAGTTTTTTAAATTTTTATAAATATAAACTGAAAACGTAAGTATTACTAAACGCACTAGCATTCAATCAATTTAAATTCCTAAACAAAAGTTCCAATTATTCAATCTAGACCAATTTCTATCAATAATCAAAAGAAAATAAAATGCCCAAGACATTTTTTTTATTCCCAATAAAAAGAATTCAATTCAAATTTCCAAACAAAAGTTCCAATTATTCAATCCAAACCAATTTCTACCAATAATCAAAAGAAAATCAAATACCCAATAAATTTTAATTTTTTTTTCAGAATCAATTGATAAATCCACAACAAGAAATCGATTTCAGTCCTTCTCGTTCAATGATAAATTACACTGACTTATTTTAAAATTTTTAAAAAATATCCATCGAATTTTGTATATTAGTTTGTTTTCTCAATTTGAGATAGCATTTGGCTTGGTTGGCCCATTTTAGGGCCAATTTGGTAATTTAAAACGTTTTACTTTATAGGATTCATTAAGTAAAATAATATTTATGTAAAGAGTGCTGCTATTAGCACCTGTCAAAATTCTTTGGACCCCTCATTTTATAATTTTTTTTATTACAATTATACCCTAAAGTAAAATTACATTAAAAGACATTATTAAATGGAACGTCCACCTATCAACAAGAACTAATACGCTATAATATTGGACACCCACCCCCACCTCCAACTCCAACTATACGTATTGCATGTTTGTAAACCCTAAACCTATTACTTTTCATAACCAACTAACATAAACCCTAAATCTATTATTTTTCATAATCATCTTAAATCCTGAATGTGTCATCTTCATCACCATCATCAACGCCATTGAACTTGAAAGTTTTGCTTCAATTATAACATATACTTCATCACTTATTTCACTGTGTAGAGCAATGGAGGACGAGGACAACATTTTCAGTCGTTTATCTGTCTTGTATTAACATTCTCGGTCATTTTCGGTTGTTCTTGTTTCGTTCGTGTTGTTCGGTACTGGTTTGCTGACTGTTAGAATTATGTTCGGTAATACAGTACTGAACATAATCCTTTCGTTCAATACATAGGTTCCGAACATTAATGCAGATAGTCAATTATGTAATTTTCTTTGTTAAACTAACTTAAAATGGAAAAGAGTGAATTGGAATGGATTTAAGTTATGTATTTTGAATGGATTTAATTCATGTTATTTTAAGTTGTAACAAATTTTGTTCGGACATACAGTGCTGACAGGATCATTATTGTTCGACAAAACAGTTCTGAACAAAATACATTTTTTCGGCTACACAGTGGTGAACAAATTGGGTGTGTGTGTATTTCATTGTGAAAATATAGAGATTAGTTTTCTATTCTGAAAATATTATGGAGATTAGTTTTCCATATATATACATTGTTTTCTATTCCTACAATTCGCATCAATCTTCACTTTCTCATCTGAATTTCCCAATCAATGGCAAATTCCAAAGAGACCCACATCATCAAAATCCCAATCGACGAAGAACACCAACCCCACAAGTAAATGCATTGTGTTTTCAAGAACCACTTTTTAGATGTGGTTAATGTTGGAGAGAGAAGAGAGAGAAAAAGCTAGGGTTTTGAAGGGGTTTTGAGAGAGAGAGAGGGAGAAGAAAGAGAAAAATCTTCACTTTCTCATCTGAACAAAAGGGGTTTTGAGAGAGAGACAGAGAGAGAAAAGAGAGAGAAGAAACATCACTGATGAGGAGAGAGAGAGAGAGAAGAGAGGGAGGCAGAGAGTGGGTGTGGTTGGGGGTGTGAATTGCGTGCATTTACTTGTGGATTTAGACTAAGGTTAATGTTGGAATGGATTCAGCCCAATCGACGAAGAACACCAACCACACAAGTAAATGCATTGTGTTTTCAGGAACCACTTTTTAGATGTGGTTAATGTTGGAGAGAGAAGAGAGAGAAAAAGCTAGGGTTTTGAAGGGGTTTTGAGAGAGAGAGAGGGAGAAGAAAGAGAAAATTCTTCACTTTCTCATCTGAACAAAAGGGGTTTTGAGAGAGAGAGAGAGAAGAGAGAGAAGAAACATCACTGATGAGGAGAGAGAGAGAGAGAAGAGAGGGAGGCAGAGAGTGGGTGTGGGGTGTCCAAAAAAATATTATTAAAATTTAAGGTTTAGGGTTGGGGTCCAAAGAAATAGGGGGTCCAAAGAATTTTGACAGATGCTAATAACAGCACTTTTATGAAAAAAAATAAAGATAATCGGATATCAATAATTACATATTTAAATCACATTTGTATTACAAAAAAATGATAATTATTCTTAAAATTATAATGGTCGATCATTTGTTTTAAAATAAATGTGATTGAAACATATAATTATCGATGTCTCACAAATCTTCACAAAGTTGTTGTATCTTTAGACATAACAGCAACATACTTTATAAGTTTAACTTTTGTAAAAGTGAATGATGTTATTATTAGATTTATTGTATAATCATGACTTGTTAGACCTTTTTTTTTTAACAAAATTAAATATAATTATCATATTTTTGTAAATTATTATGCTTTATTAATTTAATGTATAAATATATATAACTACTAGCATCATGGGAATTGAGGGCAACTATAGCGGTTCTAAACTAGAGAACTTGACAACCTTATGAAAACTAAACTAGAGCAATGTACACAAATGATAATATATGTATATATATATATATATATCTTATGAATGAAAGAGAGATCATAACTCTTTTTTTTGTTAAATACGAAATATTAGAAATAAAAAAAAGCAGATCCAGAGAGCTAGCTGGCACAACTAGCCAATTATTTAAGTCCATGACCAAGTTTAAATTATTTTAAGACCATGTTTGGTGCACCGTTTTTTACTCTGCTTTCCAAATCATCTTTCCACTGTTGAAAGGGACATCGTTTTAATCAATCTACTAATCCAAACATGGAGAAAAATGGGTCTAGTTTAGACAAACTCCACATGCTACCACTCACTGGACCATCTTTGCTTGGATTCTTGCTGATTTTTTTAGTTGAGTTATCAAGAACATTTGCACTAAAAAATTTATATATAAAATTAATCATACGCCTTTTACAAGAAATAATTTGAGAGAAAATGTTTCCTTAAAAACAAACCGTGATATAGTTGAGTTATTTTCCTTTCTTTCTTTTCTTGTAAATTGAAGGCAAAAGTGAATTCTCTTTCTTTCTTTCTCTCACACGTACACAAGAAAAGTAAAAACAATAAGGTAATATACCAAACTTTGATTCTGAAACGATCTTTCTTTGTTTTTTCTTTCATTTGAGGTTGGATTATTCTTTAAGGGACCTAAACAAGCATAGGCCAACTGTTCTCTCACCTGCTCAAAAGCTAATGCATCTTTTCTCTCCCCTTTCCCTTCTTTTTTTTTTTTTTCCCCTTTTCTTTTATTTTCCAAATCTTCTTAGTGATAATGGCTATGCAAAACAAACACCAAATTCCCACAAAGCAATTAAACAGAAGCAATAAAATCCTCTCAGAGGCTAGCAATGATCATTTTGAACAATATGGGAAACCCATTCAACAACAAAACTGTGAACATGTTTTCAGCAGCATGAGCCACATTATTACAAGTTCAGTTCCATGCAAAACCCGGTATTACAAGCATTGTTTCAAGTGCTTAGGCATTACAAATCCAAATATAAATCATACCCACTAAACTCGATGAAATGGAAGAACTTCAGCAAAAAAAGAACTTTCCCAACAAGAGATTTGGCAACTGACTCCCTGCATCATTCTTCAGGATCATCCGAACGAACAACTGATGAACAAACCAATGAAGTAATTTTTATCAAAGAATGAAGAGGATAGAAAATGACAAAATCAATGTAATATGTGGCGCATGCTCTGCAGTCTCAAATAGTGATGGTAACAAAGAATTATAATCCATTGGACCACAATGCTGTTTGGTGCACGGCTTATGGACGTGCTTATAACTTTTTTATTATGAAAATATGTGCAAGAGTATATGATGCAAGCTTATAGATTAATAGCCATTAATTTTTTTTTAGCTTGATAGGCATAAATAGCTTAAATAAATTGAAAAAAAAGTTGATTATTGTGAAGCAGGGGGTAAGGGAACTTTTAACTTTTGCTCTTTGATTATCAGCTTTCTACTTGCAGAAAAATGCACCAAATAGGCCCTAACATCCAACATATTTGCTTTTCTTGCCTTTGTTTTTCCCACAGAACCTTGGGACTTAAGCTTAGCAACTCCTTACCATGACTTTGGTTATTAACATGCTCTAGCAAAGGTCCACATGTAAATTACACTGAACGCAAGACAAACAAGGAACAGCCTAAGCAAGCAAATACATGTCCAAAGTCTGCTTCACAGTGGCAATGACTGCCACATTTTCCAGTAGATAATGATCAAAAAACTTAAAGCTGTCCACTTTGGGTGGCATCAAACTTTACTATAAGCCCACTAAAATGCTAGCATTATGACGACGACGACGACGATGATGCCAAATAAGAACACCAAAATAAAATGGTTTACATCTAGAAGTTTTAACTTAGCCAAGCCCATGGCATGGAATATTCACAGCGCCTTGATGACTATGATCCAACAGTTCAAAAGATTGAAAAATAATTTCACATCAAGAACTATATTGACATACAGTTCAAGCATCAATACATTAAATAGATGGATGTTCAAGGGTTGACTGAGCGGCCAAGGATTCACCAGAGTGGCAAAACACATCAGAGGCACCAGAGACTTGGAGAGTGATTGAGGTCTATCCGGAGAGAGTAGAGACCTCAAACTCAAGTAAAGTGCTTAACTAATGTAAGAGGGGTAAAATCTTCTATATACAGAAGCTGAGCACGTGATCTTAACTAAACGTCCAAAAAGAGCTTTAGGGAAACCGTTGGGCCATTAGAGATGCCTTTTAGTGAGAAATAATGTCTTCCTATGGGGTAAAGCTCAGTTGCAAATGTTCTCTCTCAATAGGACGGGTGCTCAAGGCTATTGGACCCTTGCAGGGTGCAACACCAGAGTGGTTGCCCCATCTCTAGCCTCTAAACCTCAAATCTCCAAAGTACCACAATATGTGTCGAGTGATTCAGCATGCCTAGAGACATGTGGTGTGAGTATCATGGAGTGAAGTTGTAAGATGGCCTAACGCTTGATCCCTGCTTGGTTTCAAGACGATAGGCTTCCCAATGATCATGTCCAAGATTGAAGCAAACACAATGTTGTTGGCCTCTCATAGTACATTCAACATAAGTGTATCAAGCAATAATAGTTGTGCACATCTAATGTACTATTCTTGAAAATGAACCAACTGCATACTTTATTGATTTTTCTTGAAAAGATATGATACTTAATCAAGACACTTGAAAACCTCGTTTGTTTGATAATGTTTGTACGGGAATTGCTGTTTTTCCACTATCAGCTCTTAGAGATCAGTTGATTGATGTTATGAGTAGTTCAGACATGATCTTTCTTTATGACCAACCTATGAAGCACAGATACTCCGAAATGACTCCCGTACGCATGTCGGATACGTATCTGATATGGCAAATAAGTATCTTTTTTTTTTTTTCAATTTTTTAAATTTCGGATACGTTTTGGATACGTTTTGGATACTTCAGGGATACGCTCGGGATACTTTCAGGATACGGCGAGGCGAAAAAATAATTTAAAAAACTTAGGAGTTGTTTGGGGTGTCCTAAATAAGTGCACTTTTTGTCTTTTTGAACTAAAAAGTTGAGGGAAAAAAGACGGATGTTTGGGTTAACTTTTTGCCTTTTTATGAAAAAATGTGTAATAAAAAATTGTATAAATAAAGTGCGTAGGGGAAGATTTAAGATTGATGGTACGGCTGCCTGCGGCTGCCCAGCCTGTCTAGTAAGAAAAATAATCAACTCCTTCGGGGCAAATAACTTTTGGACAATGATGGTGAATCTGTGGGGGCTACCATGTGTCACATTTTAATAATCTGAACCGTTCAATATGTACAACTCGTCGATTATTATATGCCTGTAAAAAATCACGTTGATCGGATATCGATAGCTATATGATCAGATTATTTTTTTCCAACAGTTAACTATCACACCATCGGTTTTGTTTATACAAAACTGATTTGATCATATAGTTAACGATATCCGATCAACGTGATTTTTTACAGGCACATATTACTCGACGAGTTCTACATATTGAACGGTTCGTATTATCAAAATGGAACCCTTACTGGGGCCCAATATTACCATCAAACTAATAAACTTTAACTATGAAAATTTTTTTTGGCTACAAAAAAAGTGGATCTTTTCCCTGGTTTAGGACTGTCACGTTGCTAGTGCATTTGAAGGTAGGAAGCACGAATACAGATACGGGATACGGGTACGATACGATACGGATACGGCGATACGAAAAAATTCAAAAAAGTAGGATACGGATATGGCGGGGATACGTTCATAAAAAATATTTTTTTCACAATTTTTAGTAATGTAGCATACACAAATAAAATTTCAACAATTTTTAGTAATGTAACATACATAAAATAAAATTTCAACAATTTTTAGTAATGTAGCATACATAAAAATAAATTTCAACAATTTTAACAATATAGCATCACCCATAACAACCATAATGCAATTCAATCCCATAATTTGAATAATTCAAATTAAGGGAGAAAAATTTACAAAGTTCATTTATTTATCAATAAGTTTATTTATTTATTTATTAATAAGTTTTTTTTACCTTATTTGATTTATTAATAAGTTTACAAAGTTTATAAATTTTATAAGTTCACAAAGTTTATTTTTAATAAGTTTATTTATTTATTCGTTTTATTTTATCAGGATTCAAGTAATGTTCCATATTCAAAGTTTTTTTTTTTATATATATATATCTTATTTGATTTACAGAGTATACATACAAAAAATTAAAAAAAATAATAATAAAAATAAATATGCAAAACAGAGACGAGATGACATAGATAAGGGAGAGGGAGAGGGAGAGAGAGATCGACCAAGGGGGAGAGATGAGATGAGATCGAGATCTGTCCATCTCCAACCAGACAGATCGAGCAAGGGTGAGAGGGAGAGAGAGTTCGTGAGATCGAGTGAGAGGCAGACAGAGGGAGCGAAAGGGAGGAAGAGAGAGAGGGATGAACCTGATCGACAACCGTGGAGCTCCTGTTCGCGAACCTGATCGACGATCGTCAAGCTGCTGTTCGAGACGAGAGACGATGACGAACTCCTCCTGCTCCTCCTTCGCGGCTGCTCTTCGACCTAAGTCTTGGTAAGCTTAGTTGATTTTTTTTATTTTTTTATTTTTTGTGTTTTATGTTATCTTTTTTTCATATTTTATACTTTGACCCCATTTTAAGTTTTTTAAATTATTTTTTTACCCCGCCGTATCCCAAAAGTCCCCCTATTTAAATTTTTTTATTTTTTTTTTTCCCCCCGCCGTATCCATACTGTATCCTCGCGTATCCTAGACGTATCCGAAATTCAAAAATTAAAAAAAAAATGGATACTTCATTTTCCGTATCTGATACGTATCCCGCCGTATCGGGCGCATATCCGTATCCGATACGCGTACGGGGGCCATTTCGGAATATCCGTGCTTCATAGATTTGAAGTATAGATATATATATATATATATATATAATATTTTTTATTTGTGAATAGTAATGTCTTTTTTACTTTTTGTGTAACTTTTTAGCTTTTTAGATTTTTTTGAGGATGCCAAACTTGGCCTTATAATAAGGTCAAATTGTAAAATAACAAAAGTTTTGTAAAATAAAACAAAAAAAACAACGAACCAAGCCCTAGCAGTAGCAACAACAAAGGAAGAGGAGGAGGATGAGGAGTCTCTCTGGACAGCAGCGTCGTCGATCAGGTTCTCGAACAGCAACGTCATCATCGTCGAACAGGTTCGTCCCTCTCTCTCTCTCTTTCGCTCCCTCTCTCTCCCTCTCGCTTGATCTCACTGTCTCTCTCCCTCTCCCTCTCGCTCGATCTCTCTAGACTGACAGACTCGATATCACTCACTCTCTCTCTTTCGCTCTCGCTTGATCTCTCCCTCTTCCTCTTTCGTCTCGTCGAGCTCCCCTCTCCCTTTCTTTCGATCTCCTGCTGTTGTTTTTATAATGCATACTTTTTTTTCTTTTTTAAATATACTCTTTATTCTTTACGATCTATAAAATGAAATCAATATTAAATTTGAGATTATAGGGGAAATTTTTTTCTCAATTTCTCTAGTAAAATTTACAGATTCTGAAAACTACGAAATTTCATCATTTTCACATTGGCCCCATTTGATATCATTTATATGTTAGCTTTTATACTTATAAAATTTTAGATTATTAGTTTAAAAGAATTAAAATAAGTTGTAAATGTGTTTGGTTATAAAAAAAGTTGAACCTATTTGGATAAATAAATCACATCTTTTTTGTTTGGCAAAAAATATCAATATGGTTTGTAAATTAATTATTGTGCTAAAGATTAGTTTTTTTTTTTTTTTTTGTGCTAAATAAAAACAATTTTAGATTATTAGTTTAAAAGAACTAAACACCATAAATTAATTTCTTATAAGCAAATAAATTAATTTCTTAGATTATTATTTTTATGTATACTACATTACTAAAAATTGTAAAAATAATATTTTTTACGAACGTATTCCCGCCGTACCCGTATCCTAATTTTTCAAATTTTGTCATATCGTCGTATCCATATCGTATTATATCCGTATCCCGTATCCGTGCTTCCTAGGGACCAACAAATCCTACTTCATGAGAGCAACCTATGATGATAATAACTACATACAAGAAGCACTTAACCAATCACACTCCACCAGGGTTGGAGTGTTTTGCCAGCATGAACCACATATGTTGGGAGTACTTTTATTTTCACAACTCTCCGAAGTAGAATTTTTCTCAGTCGGGGAGAAACATAAGTGTTTGCCAATATGAGCCACATATGTTTGAGTTCTTTTATTTTCACAACTCTCCAATGGAGTATTTTTCTCATTTGGGGAGAAATAATAGGAATGAAAAAGAATTGTATGACATTATAGAAGATTAGGAGTTCTATTTATTCAGGAGAGCTTATTTCATTAGGATTTTAGTTATTATTTTATGTTTCCTTATCTTTTTTTGTTTCCTAATTAGATAGTGCTACAACAAATATATATATATATATAAGGCTCAGAGTGTATTGATATTATCAAATTTTCTTGGATATTAATTAAGTGATATATTGATTGGGATGGTGCTTGCCATACTTTTCCGTCTTCTCTATTCTCCTTCTCTTCTTCTTGGTGCTATATCAAACATGTATCCTTAGAAGGTTAACACATGGGGGTTTGTATGATGATGTGCAAGGCACACTTAATTGCTTACATGTGTATGACACAAGTCAGGTTATGAGATACCTACAACGGACACCCTCAAATTTGTAAATTCATCAAATCAACACATTTTTTGTCTAAGGTTACTAGCTTACCATAAAGTAAGACAACTTGTTCAATTAGTGTTCACATTACTAAGGCACAAACACGGAAAATAACATGAACAAAAAAGGATGTGCAACAACCTCAAAACAGGTATACACTGGAAAATGTATCGCAATGATATGGATACTGATTTTTTTTAAAAGATGATAAATATGTAAAATATGGAAATGTTAATGGAAATGCTAACACATTAAGGGTTGGTTTGGGGTGTCTTAAAAAAGTGCAGTTTTTGTCTTTTTACGAAAAGATGTACAGAAAAGTAGAGAGGTGATGTGATGGAAAAAAGATAAAAAGATGGATTATATAGTTCATGCCAAACCAACCCTAAAAATGTATATTTGAGAAGTATGAGGTGTGCAAGGAAGAAAATACATGCATTGTTGAGTGTATTAAGAACACAATTAATACAATACTCGTATACACAATTTACCATAAATCTTAAAACTAAATTACATCAAAAACCAAACACAGTTCTTAAATATAAATAAAGAGTAAAAGTCAGAAACAAGCATACAATTAGAGGGAGAAAATGTGATGTAATCAATAGTGCAATCAGTGCTTCACAGGTTTCTATGAAGTTCAGAGTTGAATATATCGCTTCTTTATCCAGCTACGACAATTTAAAAGTCCCACTTGCAAACTGTCACACTACCCTACCAATGTTATATGATAATAATCAATGGATAAAAATAACAATTTTTCAGATACACTATTACCACAACACCCTCATAAAAGTTTCAAAATATAACTTGTTTGTAAGCTTTCTACACGCCAACACCAAACATCTTTGTAATTACCAATTACATAGAAACGATAAGAAACAAATAAAACAAAGATAAAAGTGTTTATCCCTCCACACATATGATATATATTAAATTACCTCAAGAGTGTGAACAAATCAAAATGTTACCAAGGTTAATAGCTCCATTGAAAAATAATAACATGAGTTGCACATCCAAGGAGGTTCAACCTACTAAGTTGGGTACATAAGACAAGAAGAGACCATTCCTAAGTTGATAAGCCATGCCATGGTGATAAGCCTACTAAGGTCCAAATGGGCCATGGCTTATTGTGATCTCAATTAAAAAGGGCAATAAAAGTTAATGCCCTTCTTGATCAAGAATCCAAGAAGTAATACAAAAACAACCAATTGCTTATCAAGTAAAATCATTTTCACTAAATATATATATATATATATAGACTCTCCCTTTCTTTACCATAAAAAGATAGAACAACTATAAATTCGAAGAATATCTATGCGTAAATCCTCATGCAAAATTTTCCATAAAATTATAATGCAACTAAAATCAGAACAGAATTGTAAAGTCAAACCCTTTTTCCCGAGCCTCAAACAAGATCCCAGTTGTGAAATGTTTCACAGTTAACCAGGATATCTACAATGCCCAATATGTTAAAATCATAATCTTCATCCTCAAAATAAAAGTCCCTTCATCAAATCACTAATAGAAACCCTCAAATCAAAAACCCATCTTTCACATAACGTAATCAAGAGATCGAACAAACAAATAAGTAAAATGGGACAAATCAATAAAAGCCAAGAATCTGAGACTGAAATTGAAATCAGATGAATGAAGAAAAGGAAATTACTGGGTTTTTGAGGTTTGCCATCGACCCATTTGGCGACGGAAAAATGGACCTTCTCGCGAGCTAGGGCTTCAGATTTGTAGGGTTCTTTGAGGCAGTTCCTCACCATGTTCGCGCATATGTTCGAGTACGTTATGTATGTCATCCCCGCCGCTCTCCAGAACGGTACGGCCGCGTTCGACGCCATCTCTCTCTCTCTCTCGCTCTCTCTCCAGTTCCTATTCAACACAACACTGATGCTTGCTCTGTAACCTAGGTGACCCATAACGTGAATATGGACGTGAACATTCGGGTCAGTTTTCAATCGGGTTTTAACATGGGCTTTCAATTAACTAAATGGGATTTTTCATTGCTGGTCTCAATAATTAATTGAATCTATTATCTATTAAATTTTAAGCTTCTATCTCATAAATCACGAAATCTTGTTATATTTTTTTATCTGATCTTGTCCTTGCTATTAGGTGATAAAAATCTCTATTTAAACCATTTCAACTACTTTTTAAATCTTTAATTGTTTATAATATTTATTAGTGGTAACTCGTACTATACAGTGTATGTAAAAAAATTAATAATATATTTTTATACAAAATAATATAAATAGTTAAATTTTTTTATGCAAATTATGAAATCAAAGAAGATTGAAATTTACAATTTAAGTCCCATAATTTTATCACAATTTATTTATTATTTTTTAATTTATCACAAATTTAATCATGTAACTTTCAACCCCTTACTAGATTACAAACGTAGGTGAGCTCAATCCAAACAACTTTAGTCGAGCTTAAAAATTTTAAAAAATTGAACAACATAGTTTTTAATTGAGAACTTATGCAGAAATTTAAAAATTCAAATTAAATTTGGGTGGACTTAGACAAAAACACTGAATAACCTAAGCAACTAAAATAAAATTATATATATAAATATATAAATTATTGGCTAATTTATTTTTTAAAATAATAAATAAAATTAATTAAAAGTTTAATATTAATGAACAAAATAAAAAGCAATATACTTAAAATTTCCAATAGAATTTTTCTTGAAAATATTTAAAAAATACTCATTTTAGAAAGAGATCGTCGAATAAAATGTTATTTAGAAAGTGTCATATTAGCTCACTTTTTTTTTTATTATTGATCTTTTTTAGGTCACATTACATCTCTGCTTTTCTACACATCTTTCGATGTAAAAAAAAAAAAGTATACTTAATTATTATTTTTTATCACATCACATCTCTGCTTTTCTACACAACTTTTCGTAAAAAATAAAAATAAAAAAAGTATACTCAATTATCTTTTTTGGATCACATTACATCTCTACTTTTCTGTACATATTTTTGTAAAAACTAAAAAAATATACTTATTTAGTACTTCCCAAACTACCACTAAGTTGATATTAAAAAAATTTACTTTTTATAATGGCATAAATAATTTAAATATGATATTTTTAGAAATTATTTTTAATTTAAAAATTACAATAAAATATTAAATAGAATAAAAAATTTTCTTTCAAAACAAAAGTATTTGAATAAAAAAAAAGGTAAGAATAAAATTTAATATGGTATTTTCATTTAATCTGAAAATAATTCTAGATGAACAATAACTTATCACTTATAACCCTCTTTTTTTAAATAAAAAAAAAGTTTAACGAACTATCACTTTTAATAAAATGGCACTTTTTTATAAATCTCTTTTCACTTACTTATGTTTCATTTAGTCTACATTATTCTTTTATATTCCAATAAGTGACAAGTTATCAAAATACCCTTAATTATATTCACATTTACAATGTGAATGCTTCGTGATGTGAATGTTCACACAGTTAATGTGAATGTTAACATGTTAATGTGAATGTTCACGATGTCAATCTGAACATTCACACGTCAATATGAATACTTATATTGTAAAATATGAATGTTCACATCACCAAATTGCTAACCGTTCAAAAAATATTTATAAGAATAAAAATGTCCATAAAATACTTTAAATATGAGAATTAAGATTTTGTAGATCAAATGTTCAAATAATAAGACTTATCGAAAAATAAGAATATCTTATGGACTAATTGGGATACAAACACTGAGGAAATATCATTTTCCTCTCCAAACTATCACGCGTTTTTCACGTTGACCTCCATACTTTGATTTATTTTAATTTAGTACCTGAATTTTCTACAAATTGATCAATTAGACCCCTGTCGTCACCTTCCGTCCACAATTAGACGAAATGTGATGAGTTGTCCCCCTGAACTATCTTTTGGAGAGAATATAAGAGGGTTTCCTTACAAAATAAGTTTGTATGATAGACAATTCAACTAGGGCTTCGTTGGGATCAAAATCGGTTTTAAGGTTTTGAAATTCCTTATTCGAAATCGAAATCAAAGCTCATCCTTAAACGAAGGGCATGAACTAACATTAAATCAGGGGTTGGGTTCGAAGAGAGAAGGATAGCAAGCGAAGGAATTGACCAATTGTTTATGGTATTTACTTTTAATATTTGTTTAATTTTGAAGCAAATGATTATGCAAAATCGATTTATGATATAATACTATTTTGATTTTGCTTTTTTTAGAATACATCTTGGTTTGTTTGTCTTTCAAAAGGATTTGTCTAATCGTAATTGTTTTACTTGAATAGTGTAATACTTAATTAGCTTTAGTTTAATCAGTCCTTAAAAGAAACTCATTTTTTATGTAATGTTTATTAAAAATCAATTTACCAAAAATACAAACAAAGTTTTTTTTTTTTTTTAATGTATTCATACCTGGATTTCTTTAATTGGAAATGTCTTATGGTAATAGTAGTTTAATACTATTTTTATTTATTTATTTATTTATTAGTATAATTAGTCCATAATAGCATATTTTTCATTTAAAAATGCAGAGAAATGATCTTATTATTTCACAATCAAAATGCATCATGGAAGTTTGGTTAGTTATAATCCTCACAGGGTTTATAGTGATGGATTTATCAGTTATTTTGACTTTTGTAATTCTGATGAAATATCACTTGTGGAGTTGGATAATATGGCCAAGGAAGTAGGCTGCACTGGATGTAGCATCTATTACTATAAGGTTAATTATTGTGTTGGGTTAGAGTTGATTGACACTGATCAAAATGTAATGAGGTTGGAGACACTTGTGAATGGAAACAGAGTAGTAAAGGTTTACGTAGGTTGTTTAGGAATGGATGATGTTATAGGTGCCCAAGTTAATCAAGTAGGGTCAACTGCAAAAAGAAGTCAGAGAAAGGAAGTACTTGTAGATATACAGGTAGCAGAAGAGGAAGATAGTGATGACTATGATCCTAATCCCTCAGACTCTTCCTCATTTAATGAGTCTAAGAAATATGAGGATAATGACTATGGATTTTCTAATTGTGATGCATTGTATGAGGTTAACATTGACAAAGATCTAGAGTTTGCTGGTGTAGGAAGTAGTAAGAATGGAATGACTGAGGCAGTTAATGACCTACAAAGCCTTAGAAGCTCGTTTGATGAGCTACGAAGTATTGACAACTCATCTGATGAAGGAGATATTTCTTATAGAAGACAATACCCTGTTTTTAATGTTGACTTTGATATGCACAATCCTCAATTCAAACTTGGTATGGAGTTCAAGAGTCCTGATATGTTTAGGGATGCTGTGAAGAAGTATACAATTAAGTGGGGGCAAACATATAACATTTACCAAGAATGACAAACAAAAGGTGAGGGCAAAGTGCAAAGTTGGTTTTCCTTGGATTTGTTATACTTCATATATAAAACATGATGGGTTGTATAGGATCAAAACACTTGTTGATGAGCACACTTGTAATAGGTCTTTTGATGTGGCACATATGAGTTCCAAATGGATTGTCAAGAAGTACTTTGAAAGAATTAGGTTAAATCCTACGTGACCAATTCAATCATTGGCATACACTATTTCAAAGTGAGCACAATGTGAGGTTGACTTACAAAATGTGAGAAAGGCAAGAAACAAGGTGTTGACACAAGTAGAGGGTACTGCAGCTGAGTAGTTTGCAATGTTATGGAGTTACATTGAGGAGATTAGGAATATCAATCCTAAGACAACAGTCTATATGAAAGTAAAACAGATTCCAAAGGTTAATAAAGGAAGTAATCCAAAGGTTAGTGATGAGAGTAATACAGAGTCAAAGTTCAAAAGGTTGTACTTCTATTAGGGTCCATTGAAGAAAGCTTTTATGAATGCTTGCAGGCCAGTCATAGAAGTTGATGGATGCGATTTAAAGGGGTCACATGGTGGTATTCTCTTGACTACTGTTGGGATAGATGCAAACAATTGCATATTTCCATTTGCCTATGCAATTGTTGAGAAATGAAAGAATAAAACATGGTTGTGGTTTCTAGAGCTGCTAGGACATGATCTGAATATTGTAAACTCTCATTGTTATACCTTCATGAGTGATAAATAAAAGGGTTTGATTGATGCAGTGGCTGAGTTGTTCCCAAATGCTTTACACAGATTTTGTGTGAGGTATTTGTACAACAATTTTAAGGGTGAACACAAGGGGTTGGTTCTAAAAGATTTGTTGTGGAATGCTGTAAGGGCAACAATTGTTCTTGCATTTGCCAGAGTGATGGCAGAGATTAAAGAAGTTGATTGTAAGGCATATGATTAAAGACCACCAATTCATTGGAGTAAGAGCCACTTTAACGCTTTTCCAAAGTGTGACCTTTTGCTAAACAATCTATGCGAGTGTTTCAATTCAAACATCTTGGAAGCTAGGAGTAAACCTATGGTTACAATGTTAGAGAAGATTAGATTGTTGTTGATGGAAACAATTCAAAAAAAAGAGATACAATGCAAAGACACAATGGTCCTATATGTCTTAAGATTCAAAATCATTTGAAGAAAATGAAAGTGGATGCAGCTAGACGGATTCCTAGATGGAATGGCAATGAGCAATTTGAGGTTGTAGGGCCATATGGTGAGCAATACAAGCTGGACTTGCAAGCTTGGATATGTGGCTGTAGGAAGTG